ATCTCCCTCCCCGCACCCGGGCCGCCCCTGTCGCGATGCCCGTCCGCGTCTCCTGCGTTCACCCGGGGCCGATCTGCTCATGCTAAGTTTTGTGGGTACAACAAAGGTGGAAGCACGAATTTAACCTGCAATCGGTTCTGAAATTGATTATTAGATTTTTTTTTTATCATCTGTGCGTGTTTATTGGCACCTCGCACAAAGCGTAATTTCTACACATGACCTCAAATCTGAATATTAGTGGTGCTAATAATACGTGATGCAACTATAGCGGTTATCTTTGCTAATCTCTGTTAGCCATGCTTCCGTAAAGTTTATATATGGGGTGGGACACTTATGTGAAGCTGTATAAGGTTTTGATTTCATAATGGCCACCCCTGTTTTGATGCATATGCGCATCGCCGGGGTCTCGTGGACGGTCGGATGCTTATGTGCCCCACCACTGCTCCTAATCACCTGGGGCTGATCTGTGATCTGTTCATATGCTAAGTTTCCTGGGTACAGAGTTGGAAGAACGAATTTAACTCTACTTGTAATTTTTTTGTCTCACTAGAGTATGCAAGTAGTTTAGGGGCAGTTTTAACATGGTCCCTTTTACCTCCTCTTTTAACATGAGACGTAAGAGTATATAATAGATCTACAAGCCGTTGATCTCATTTAAGTATTGGGTCTGAGTAACTCTTACCTTCTTACCTCCCATGTGAAAAAAGGAGGTAAATGCTAAATTGATTAAAGAACAATCCTGGAGATAATTTGTTTGCTTAAGCTTTTGATTTGTGCATGTTTCTTTTCACCTTACACCTGGCATAATCTCTCTCAATGATCTGAAACCTGAATGTTAGTTGTATTTACACGTGATGAAATCATCATGGTTATTTTGCTTCGCTAATCTCCGTTATCTATGCTTCTGTAAAATTTGTGGTGTTGCCTTAACATATATATGGTGGTCAATGAATTTCTTTAATGTTTTTTGGCACATTACACAAAGCATAATCTGTACAGAGGATCTGAGTATCAGTTTTATTAATCTATGATGCAACAGTTGGAGTGTTAAACTCTGTTAGCTATGCTTCTGTATAATTTATGGCGTGGAACACCTATCTGAACTTATATGGTGGTCCATGTTCTGTAAGAAGAAGTAGTTGCAAGCAATGTATGCATAGCTGGCAGCAAAGATGTTTAAATGTTTACTCTGACGCAGGAACTACCGAGGCAAACATACATAGCTCCCCCCGGGGCTCCTCAACTCACCCTCCATTCACTCCTGACTCATCCGGCCACCACTCCCTGCACTTGGCCATCCGTTTTCCTGATGCACTGTAATATGTTACCACTGCCAAGCATGTTTTGCCGGGACTGACATCAATCATCATGCGATTCGTGCCATGCCATCAGTTCCATCATGCCATACCATGCCATCAGTTCCATCATGCCATACCATGCCACGACTAGAAGTATCCACCAGGCATCAACTTGATAACTTGCTATATGTGCTGTCTCAGTAAGCAATGTCTGTGAGGCTCTTTGGTCTGTAGAATGGTGAAGCATGTTCAGTGCCGCCAGTCGTACCTTCTTACTTTGGAACTTTTGGATATAAGTTGTACAACACCATGCCTAGTCATGAATGGAATCTACCAGTAAGCTCAATAGCTCTGTTGATACCATCAGATCTGTGCAGGTGCAGTATTTTTCTGTTTCTGTCAGGTTTGAATTTGACTGAATTTGGTTCATGTATTTTAGTTGCTTGTCCTATAAAAAATATGGTTGGTGAACAATGACTGGCACACGATCTAATTTCCTATGGTTCTTACTTGTGGATTTACCTTTTTTAGGGTTTGCTTTTGTCTACTTTGAGGATGAGCGTGATGGTGATGATGCCATACGGGCTCTGGATGGTTATCCCTTTGGCCCTGGGAGACGCAGACTTTCAGTGGAGTGGTCAAGGGTAATTTCTCTTGCTGGTCTTGCAACTCCACTAAACCTTAACACAGAGAAAGTCATAAAACTGTGTCCTGTCATATGCTGACTACCGTCTGATTTAGGTGGTATTTGAAATAATATTGGCTTCGGTTCATTTTGTAATTCTTCTCTGGTGATTCATTTAACAGGGCGATCGTGGAACCAGACGTGATGACCGTGATGGATACAGTAAACCACCAGTGAATACTAAGCCCACCAAGACACTGTTTGTCATTAACTTTGACCCGATCAACACAAGAGTCAGTGATCTTGAAAGGCATTTTGGTCATTTTGGGAGGATTTCAAATGTTCGGATAAGGAAGAACTTTGCTTTCGTGCAATTTGAAACACAGGAAGAAGCCTCAAAAGCGCTAGATGCTACTCATTTGACGTAAGTGCCACTTTCACCTGTTTTTAAGTTTATATAGTCAGCATAGTCTGACTTCAGTTGCATGCTGGTAGTTAGTATCACTTTCACCTGTTTTTCTACAGAAGTTCAGTTTTTTAGCAGAATCTGACTGCAGCTGGCATGTTGGTAGTTGGTACCAGTTCCACCTGTTTTTCTACAGAAGCTTAGTTATTGCTAAATGTATTGCGTGCTGTTTCATAAGCTTATGTGGTATGGATTGTTTGAAAACAGTCTTACAGTGTAAAAATATGCCTGATTGATTATCATTCCCCTCTGCAGGAAGTTACTGGACAGAGTGATTTCCGTTGAGTATGCCTTCAGGGATGATAGTGAACCAGGTGACAAGTATGACAGGCCAAGTAGAGGTGGTGGCTATGGAAGGCAGGATGACAGTTCATATCGCCGTTCTGTCAGCCCAATGTACCGAAGGTCACGACCTAGTCCTGACTATGGCCGTCCAGCGAGTCCTCAATATGTTCGTGATCGCTATCGAAGGTAATGCACTTACATTGTTTTTCTTTGATCTTCGTATGGTTGCATTCTTGGTACTGCTGGCAGATGCTTTCATTAGGATCTCCTTTCGAATTAGCCAAACCACTTTAGTCTGGTTAGTTACCGTGTTCTATTTTTTTGGCATGAAACATTTACTGCTGTGGATATTATCTGCCTCGTATGTTGTTATGATTCACTTCTGACATCAGTGATTAGTCCCTACGTTACTGCCAGCTACCCGTTGGTGGCCTTTGATCCCATCTGACAATAACATTGCAGAAATGTATTTATAAACGTCGAGTATTCAATTCTTTTTGTGAGGAAGAGTATCCAGTCATTCACTTGTTAACTATATATGTTTCCTGTTATTTGATGAGATCTTTTTGTATGATTGCAGCCGATCTCCTGTCCAGCGCTCAAGGTCCCCAGCTCCCAACAGAAGAGGTTATGACTGATGGACAATTATCTCGGTTTATGGTAGCGAGGCAGCTTCCATATGCTGTTCTAGCTCTAGCATTAGTAAACAAGAACACCTATGTACCCCTACCGAAGCTTATCGTTTAGCTGACATCGTGTTATAAGAAGCTGGACCTGTCCTTTGACAACTGCTTTGTCGTCGTGTGTTATAAAAAGTTAGACCTGCACTTTGACACCTGCTTTGTGCCTAAATTGCGTCATTTTCGTATATCTGTGTGTCTATTTATGTCTGGATTTTTTATGTGTGCCTAAACATATACACCTGCTAGAAGTTTAAGGTTATCTCATTTTCGTATATTTTGCAAGAATTTCATAACCGAAAAACAAAGTTTCAAACACGTTGAGTCTGGAATTCCCAAGAACATTGTAATAACTATGAACTATTTGAATTCATAAATAATTCAGATACTACCTGATACTGTGAGTAGAGAATATTTCTTGTGATTTTGTCAAGTTTATGCTGTTTCTTGGTCTATCAACTGGACATTGTAATAATACTACTAGTGGACGCAATTTTGTGTGTGTTCTACCAGTAGTCCCCACAGGAGCAGGAGCCGTCTCTGAAATGGTGGAACCTCCTGACATCCCTGAGCACAATCTCCCGCCCAACCATCTTCGAAATGAACTTGGCCGCCTCATGGCAGTCGTTGCACACCCGCAGGTTCTTGGCCACCCTGATGGCGGCGCCGGCCGGCGCCCGCAGCAGCCCGAAGGCGATGGCGAGCTTCTCGCTGTGGTACCGGAGCATCGCCGCCTTCTCGGCCTCGCCGACGTCGTGCAGCACGCACGACGTGTCGGGCGTGTACCCCTCGCGCCGCATCCGCTCCCAGAGCGCGTCCATGTGCGCGTGCACCTCCGCGCTCGCCGGGTGGGCCGACTCGCCGGCCATGAACCGGTGGATCGCGCCGTCGAGCTCGATCCAGCTGCACCCGGGCTCCTTGGCCACGCCCTGCCGCCGCATCCTTGCCCGCGCCGCCGCCGACTTCTCCCACATCCCGGCGGCGGAGTAGATGTTGCAGAGGAGGATGTAGTGGCTGGCTTCGTCGGGTTCTAGCTCGAAGAGCCGCTCGGCGGCGACCTCGCCGAGCTCCACGTTCCGGTGCAGCCGGCACGCGCCCAGCAGGCTGCTCCACGCCGACACCTGGTGCTCCCCGGGTGCCATGGAGGTGATGATCGTGTACGCCTCGTCCAGCCTCCCCGCCCGACCGAGCACGTCGACGACGCATGCGTGGAGGTCCGGCGTCGGCTTGACGCCGTGGTCCCTCTCCATGCCGCGGAACAGCTCGAGCCCACGGTCGACCAGGCCGGAGTGGCTGCACGCCGCCAGGGCGGCGATGAAGGTGACCTCGTTGGGCGTCGCCTCGCCGCCCGCCGCCATCTCGTCGAAGAGCGCCACCGCCTCGCCGCCGAGCCCGTGCATCCCGTAGGCCATGATGAGGACGTTCCAGGTGATGACGTTCCGCCTGGGCAGCCGGTCGAACACCGCCCTCGACGCCGCCAGGCAGCCGCACTTGGCGTACATGTCCACCAGCGCGCTGCCCACGGCGATGTCCGACTCCAGCGCGTGCCGCACCGCGTACCCGTGGATCTCCTTCCCCCTCGCCGGCGCCGCCAGCGCCGCGCACCCCGGCAGCAGCGTCATCAGCGTGATGTTGTTCGGCATGACAATGGCGTCTTCTTCTTCCTTTGATGATGATGATGGCAGCTGCATCTCCGTGACGAGCTGGAACGCCTCGGCGACGTGCCCCTGCACGACGCAGCCGGTGATGAGGGTGTTCCAGGACACGACGTCGCGGGGGTCGATCACGGCGAAGATCCGACGCGCCACGTCCATCTCGCCGAGGCGCGCGTACATGTCCATGAGCGCGTTCTGCACGAACCGGTTGCCTGCCATGCCGCGCTTCACCACGTACCCGTGCATGGCCTCCTTGCCGGCGAGCCCCTCCGAGCGCGCGCACGCCGGGAGCACGCCGGACATGGTGGTCTCGCTGGGCGTGCACCCGGCCTCCGCCTCCATCCGCGAGAATAGCTGGAGCGCTTCCGCGTCCATCCCGGCCTGCGCGTAGCCGCAGATCATGGCGTTCCACATGCCCAGCTGCCGCCCGGGCTCCGGCACCATGTCGAACACATTCCGCGCGTTCCCCACCCGCTCGTTGCCGGCGTACATGTCCACCAGCGCGCTCGCCACGAACGAGTTGGCGGCGAGGTCCGCGTCCTTGAGGACGACGGCGTGGATCTCCCTGCCCAATGCGAGCATCTCCAGCCGCGAGCACGCCGGGAGCGCGCTCGCGAACGTCACGCCGTCCGGCCGCACGCCGAGCGCCACCATGTCGTAGAGCACCTCCACGGCCTCGGCGCACCGGCCTCCCTGCACGAGCAGGCTGATCATGGTGTTCCACGTCACGACGTCGCCGCCGCCGGGGGAGAACGCGGCCGCGGTGCTGCGGAAGAGCGTCTGCGCGTCGTCGACGAGGCCGAGGCGCGCGTACATGGAGAGCAGCGCGTTGAAGGGGAAGCGCTCGCGGCCCTCGTCGAGGAACCCGTGCTTGAGCGCGAAGGCGTGGGCCTCGCGGCCGAGGCGCCGGCCGTCGTCGCCGGCGAGGTGGGAGCAGGCAAGCAGCACGCTGACGAGGGTGAAGGAGCTGACGTCGTGGCGGGCCTCGGCGAGCATGCCGCGGAGGGTGTCGAGCGCGCGCTCCCACTGCCGGAACAGGCAGAGCGCGGAGATGAGCGAGTTGTAGGACACGGCGTCGCGGAGCCCCGGCGGCGTGGCGGCGAAGAGCGCGAGCGCGGCGTCGAGGTCGCCGCAGCGCGCGTAGGCGGTGAGGAGCGCGTTGCCGGCGGCGGGGGTGGGGCGGTGGAGGAGCGCGCGGCGGAGGGCGGCCGCGTGGAGCGCGCGCGCGGCGCGGGCGTCCCGGAGCGCGGCCGCGGACTTGATGGCCGGCGGGAGCGCGAAGTGGTCGAGCTGCGCGGAGGAGGCCGAGAGGGAGGAGAGCGCGCGGAGGGCGGCGGCGTGGTTCCCGGCGGCGGTGAGGGAGCGGATGGTGGCGGAGGTGGGCGGCGGGGCCGCCGGTGGGGCGACAGTGACGGCCATGGAGTGACCTCAGCTGGCTGGCTGAGCGGCGAGGAGCGTCGAGGCCTGGAGGATAAGCCAGCCTGATTTTTTTTCTTTTAAAAATGCCAGCCGGTGGGACAGGAATATTTGGGATATGGTTCCACATGCACCCGTTATGAATAGCAAATTTGAAAAAGAAAATACTAAAAGATTTAAAAAAAAATCCTTTTTGTAGTATACATAGTTGACCATTCTACTCGAATATGAAGTTTCGCAAGGAAATGACACCCATGTCATTCTAGGCGAAAAAGATAAAATATATTCTATATTCGAAAACACTAATTGAAGGAATAGTAAGGTCTGATTGTATTTTCTTCACTATTGATGTCATTCCTTCATGAAATTTCTAACGTGAGTAGAATGGTTGACCAAGTTTGACATCCAGAAAATTCAGATATTCTTTTTAACTTTCTAGTATTTTTTTTTGAATTTATTATTCATGTGGATGCCCATGAAACCATGTTCACCCGTGTATTTTCGCAGTTGCTACTTAAAACTCTAGAAGGAAGTAGTCTACTCTCTCTGTTCATAAATACAAATGTTTTGGATAGTTAAATATGTTCTGCATACAGACTCGATGTATGAACAAACACACTAAAACATATTTAGATATATTATAACCGAGCACTCTTCCAGCCCTCACATGCCATCAATGATTTCTGCCGTTGGATCTAGACTTGCGATCATTTTTGGTCACTGGATCAACCTATAATGGCTATTGTTTTCGCGAGTGAGCATGGGCTGCTGCTCCTGTAACAAAATTGGGCTTCTGTGGTGAATTTGGCCAACATGGGCCTTTGAACGCTTCGCTGGGTGTCGGACAGAAGGTGAAGCAAGCGATTCTCGAAAAAAAAGGTGAGGCAAGCGGTGCCGCTTCAGCCCTCCACTTCTCCCCTCTTTCACGATCTCTGCGGCAGCGTCCGCTCGCCACCGTGATGGTGATGGTATCCCCGTGGCCGTGAATTCACCCATTGACATCTCCTTCCCGTTCGCCTCGTCCTAATCTGATCCATCATCTCACTGGATTTGTGACTGCAGTATCAACGTACGCCTTCCCCTTTCCTTCTCTCTGCTCGGTTCTCTTCCCAATTGTCGCAGATCCCTGTCTCTGCCACCGGTGTTTCTCGCGGCTGCTGATCAAGTCCAAGCCGCCATCCCCGCCGCTAGGTTGCTGCCCTTTCTCCACGCCACCACTGCCGCCCCAGGTTTCTGCGCTACTGGTTCCGCAACGCTCCTCCCCATACTGCATCCCGTAATCGGTCCTCATCCCCATCCCCGGCGTCGCCCTAGATGGAGGTCGGCGCCTCGGCGGTATAGGTATACCTATGGTGACCGCGCCCAACAGTATCCACGGAGGCACAGGTATCCTCCCCGTCCTTCTTCTCCTATCATTTCTCCTCCGCGTACGACCCTCGTTCGCCGCGTCCCACACACCCCCTCTGCGGCGGGATCCATGTAGGCGCGGCCACCATACCCCAGCCCCCTCCACCGTTGCCCCCCTTCCTCCAATCCCAACCCTTCTTTCCTCCCATATTTGATATAGAACAAAAGGGATGTTGATGTGTTACTGATCCACACCATCTGCTGTAGAACAAAAAGGATGTTGTGATCACAATCTTGTATGAAGGGGATAATTGACGATAGTTCTAGAGTTGGATATTGATTAACCTCGTGCCAGCACACCAGGCAAATGATTCTGTTTCTTGATGATGCTTCTATATTACTAGCAACTGAGGATATCTGTAATATACCGATCTTCTCTGTGCAGAATGCGGAGAGATACACAGACCTGTAGAGGATGGAGGAAGTGACTCGGTGGTCAACTAATAGCTAGGCACACAAACATGCTTGATATTCCCCCATCTATTTGTACGTGTTTGATGTCTAGCCACTGAGGCGCATGCAAAACAGCTGAGCAACGAGCCTGGGCAACTTTCCAAAGGTGAGGGCACACATAATGTGTGCCGCCGGCATCTCCGTAATCCTATTCGCCAAACAAATATCAAACCAATCTGCAGATTTATGATTTATTCCCTTCCTCCCGATGTAAGCAGAGCTTTCCAATGCATTTCTTTTCTTGTATGTAAACCAGATTCACATGGCTTGGATATGCAATTGCTTGATATTGTTGTCATCACATAGAAGCTCTTGTGGCCTAATGGGTAAAGTGTATGACTCTAATCAGGTGATTCGAGTACCACCAAATGTGATTACTTCAGTGCTGCCTATGACCATGTAATGTAACTTATGCATCTAAATTTAACTTATTATTTTTTATTCTTGTATATTTGATTCTATGTCTGACGGGCATTTTTATTTTTTGATTTCTTGCACAGCTAATTGATACCCCAATGGAAAATTTCAAGGATTATATTAAGGTATATGCTCGACTCTTTATGTTCATTTTGAATTTCTCATGTTTTAGGATGGAGGTTTTTATACGTAATTCTCTGATTGCACTCTGCAAACATGCATTGGTTGTCAATATCATTTGGTGTCCACATTAAAAACTTACCTTAGTAGTGCACTTCTATGTAATAACATCAACGCTGCTGGACAGACCCTTTCATCTGGACCCATCAGTTTTCTACATCTGAAGAAATCTGAACATGAAGTTTTCAAACTGGAGTAACTGAATTTTGTTTGTCCAAATGAGAATTGTGTAATTCATACAGACTTCCTATGATTTCTTTACCCAACTCATCTTACAGATATCCTGTGTAGGGATAAAATACACAATCCATTGTTACACTAATGATGCTAGCATCACACAGGACGTTGTTCATGTCATCAAAAAGTGCTACAAGAATCTAAAGCCCAATTGAAATCATTTTTTTACCCAAAGTGCAACTACGTTGCAGCTTCTTTTCGGCAGCTCTACACACGTTGGTACTCTCCTATTGAAGCCGGTGTACTAAAATGTTAATTAGTGAGTACTGCTAAACATGCAGTGTGTTATATGTAAATTAGTTGCATGCCTTGTTGAGTACTTGCTTTCTTGGTTCTTAATTTCAGGATTTGTTGCTTGGTTCTATTATTTTTTGGATAATACTATTGAGATGCAGCAGTGTCACTTTGCCTCTAATATTTCTACATCTTTATTTTCTCTACCTACGTGCTCCTGTTCCGCGAGACTCAGTGTCCAAACATTAATTGTTGTCTTAGTGTTGGCCAAGGAAATTCAGATTGTTGTCATCTAAGTGATCTCTATGTTAGCTTCAAGGTCAGCCTTAACAAACAATGGGAGGTTTATCCCTAATAATAGAATGTAAATGTGAAAAATGGAAATATAGTAGATCTTGTTTGTTTAGGTAAGCAATGTCGTGATTTGAATACCAAAAGTATTTAAGTCCAAGGTTGTTTTCTGTGTAGGCTTACCCGAGTGCAATTATCATCTACATTTATGAACATATATAACTTCCAAATTTCAGTAAGTTTGGAAAGGCTACAATGGTTGCTCAGAATAAGTTTTGCATTGGCGTTATACTGTTAGAACACTGGCATGTTAAATATTTGTCTTGTGATGTTTGGTATTAAATCACATTTCCTTCCTCTTCTGCTATATTGCAGGGTTCAAGGCTTCCTGACAAGTGACCATAACGATTGTTCAGGAAACTGCTTGTTTCCCTTGAGGAACATGGCGCTAAAGTATCAAGGGTGTTTTTCAATCAAGAGCTATTAGTTACCTTGACCATGTTGTATCTCTTCTGATTTCTTCAGTTAAAAGGTCACCGATTGCTGAATTGTGTCTTTTATGCTATAATGAATTACGATTTGTATATCGGTAATGCAGAAAAATGAATTATATCAGTAAATGTGGGAAAACGAATTCCATAACTACGTGAGAAATTCCAATAATTTTATTATCAAAATAGACGGACGCGGCAACGCGCGCCATCAGTGATCTAGTACTCCCTATAACTAGTGATTTAAACGTTTTTATATTTTTTTACGGACGGAGTACATCCGATTCATTTTTTTTTAGAAAATCTCATAATGTACTCCCTTTGTAAAGAAATATAAGAACGTGTAGATCCACTACTCTAATGATCTAAACGCTCTTATATTTCTTTACG